GCGACCGATTGGCCGATTTGAAAAAGGAAAAATTAGGGACCTGATAGATTATCACGACGGTGCTCTCGACGCGTTGGACTTAAAGATCATCAAGCCGGATCCATTGCCAGAAGGTGCCTCAACAGAAGATGCAAAGAAGCACAAGGAGAAGAGTGACTTTTTTCGTAAGGCCAACAGCTATGCAAAATCCATGATTACCACTGCGGTCACGGATTCGGTGTACCAGAAGATCATGGACAAGGATACAGCACACGATACGTGGGAAGCTCTGAAAAATCAGTTTGAAGCAACAGCGAAGGACCAGGTATTCAGGATATGCAACGAGTTTTTCGTTTTCTCTTGGAATCCAGGTAACGATGTATCAACCCACATAGCAAAATTGCGTAGTCTATGAAACGATTTTATTCAAGCTTTGAAGGCTAAAAATGAAACTGAGCTGCCAGATTTAATACTTGTTTGTAAAACGCTACATATTTTGCCAAAAACCTTTGAAACGTTCCGTCGAAGTTGGATGCTCTTGACAAAAGAAGAAGAAAAGACTTTCGACGAATTAACTAATCAAATTGTCATGTTTGAGAGAAGTTTTAGGACAAAAGAAAATGATGAAAAGGAAAGCCAGGAGGCTTTTTCTACCACAGCACAAATTGAGCATCGTCAGGAGATTCGATACTTGCCGCTATTGCAAGAAACAGGAACACTGGATCAGGAACTGCATAAAATGGAAGAAGGATGGACGTCCGAAGCCGAACTACCAGAATGCTGAACATTGAAACTGTGCAGAACCAACGTTAACTCTCGTTTCAGTCCACAATAGCGTGTTTGCAGCAGAGGCTAACTCCGAGATCGACTGGTGGATAGAAAACGGTGCAACAAAGCACGTTGTGAAGACTGCAAAGTATTTTGACCATTTTGAGAAGTTTGAAAATCCGAGTTGGATCAGAGCAGCTGGAAATGAAACCTTGTCAGGTTTGGGCCAGGGCGCAATCAAAGTCAAAACGATTGTCAATGGAAAAATTATTTTTCTTTCTTTGAAAAATGTATGGTTTATTCCCAATATAACGAAGAACCTGTTTACAGTTTCGGCTGCCCAAGACAATAATCCAAGTAGTCGTTTTGAGTCGTCAGCAACCGAGTGCACCCTCAAAATATTCGACAAGATTGTCCTCGTTGGAGCCAGAGAAGTTGGAGGAACACTCTACAGAGCAGCGATCGGGCCCATACTTCCAGAACGAAACGTCGATGTCAACGTCGCAACTTCAGGGACTTCAATTCTCCAACTCTACCACGAGAGGTGGGGAAATCAGGACAAGAACCACATCAAGGACATGCTCAAAAGAGAAATGGGCATTCAAATCAAGATTGAGAGTAGCTTTTGCGAGCCATGCAAAAAGGAGCCTTTTGCGAGCCTTGGAAAGGCGCATCGATTTCCATTTGGAACGAGGAAACCAGCGATGAAGCCAGGGGAACTGATGTCAGGCGATGTTTGCGGCCCATTTGAGGATTCTTTCCAGAAGAAGAGCTATCTGGTAGTTTTTAAGGATCATTTCACCAGATTTCGATACGGGTACATCGTCAAGCAGAAGTCAGAGGTCAAGGACGTGCTGTGACAGATGGTTTCTCACGCCAAGCAACAAGGGCACACAATTCGGGAATTCCTGAGCGACAATGGAGGAGAATTCGACTGTGGAGTAAGAGAAACTCTTCAGGAAGCTGGTATAACTTTTCGACTCACCGCTCCCTATACTCCAGAACAAAACGGTGGTGTCGAGAGAGAGAATCGAACGATAGTCGAAATGGCGAGAACTTTCAAGTATTCTAATACAGAAATAAAATTTCCAGAAGCAATTTGGGCCGAGTTGGTCAGCACAGCAGTCTACATTCTCAATAAGACGGGCAAATCTTCATTGAAGGGTTTGAGCCCTTACCAACTTTTGCTGGGCAAGAAACCAAGAATCAAACACCTTCGAATCGTAGGATCGACGTGCTATGTTCACATTCCATGCCAAAAAAGGAAGAAGATGGACGAAAAAGCTGAAAAGGGGTACCTGGTGGGTTACGTCGGCGATGAGAGATATCGTATTTACTTACCAGAGAAGCACAAAGTAGTCGTGTCGAGGGACGTAAAATTTCAAGAGAAATTCAACAATTGTGAACCAGGCGCCGACCTACCTTTTCAAGATTTTGAATCCAAGGACGTCGTAGAAAATAAGGAAGAAGAAGACGTGAGCTTGCACCAGAGCGAGGATGAAGACAAAGAAGAAGAAGACGCGGACTTGCACAAGAGCGAGGACGAAGACACACTTCAGGAGCAAGACTTGAAAGAAGACACAGCCGAAATAGGAAGCGAAAGCAGTTACGAAACCGGAGTAGAAACAAGCTTTGACGAAGAAAGCAACAGAGAAATTTGCAATCAATGCGGTTGAGGGATCGTTCGAAGTTGAAGAGACCGGAGCATCTGGATGACTACGTAGCAGCAGCCGAGAATTTTGTGCTGGAGAGTCCAGATTCCTTCCATGAAAAAGGCAAGGCAGGGAAATTGATTCCTTACATCAGAATGAAACTTGGGACTTGACAAGACTCCCCAGAGGATCAAAAGCACTTCCGTGCAAGTGGGTCTATCGAGTCAAAACCCACCCCGACGGAAGTATCGACAAATACAAAGCTCGCTTGGTCATCAAAGGATTCGCCCAGAGACGAGGGATTGATTACGACCAAACTTTTAGCTCTATCGCAAGAATGGAAACAATCCGCTCAGTGTTGAGCGTTGCAGCCAAAAATTATATGTTTTTGGTCCAGTTTGACGTCTCGACAGATTTTCTATACGGTGAATTGGACGACAAGGAGATTTACATGTAGCAACCTGAGGGATACGAGCAAGGACAGGGGCTTGTTTGCAGATTAAAGAAGAGTCTCTACGGGCTTAAGCAAGGGCCGAGATGTTGGCAAGAACGCTTCGGAGGTTTCCTGCGGAAACACAATTTCAAAGTCAGCGAGGCAGATCCATGTCTTTACATCAGGGAAAGAAATGGCAAAAAGATTCTACTCGTTGTTTACGTAGATGACGGACTCTCCGCAGCAACAGATACGCAAGATTTGGAAGAATTTTTGGACGAGCTAAAATTAGAGTTCAAAATTGTCTCAAGCAAGGCTGAGTGCTTCTTGGGACTTGAAATCAAGAAACAAGCAAATGGACTAAAAATTAGTCAACAAGGGTATGCCACAAGGATTTTGGAGCGATTCAGATTCACGGATTGCAAAGCTGTTTTAACCCCACTTCTCAAGAATTTAAAAATTACGACAGCAGGGAAAGAATCAGAGACGACTGCGTTCCCTTATGGCCAAGCCATCGGAGCTCTCATGTACCTCATGCTTGGAACTAGGCCAGACTTGGCTTTCAGCATCGGATTTCTTTCAAGAACGCTTGAAAATCCTGCAAAAGAAAACATTGTTCAAGTGAAGAGGGTTTTCCGTTACATTTCCGGATCGACCAACGTTGGGATAGTCTATCGGAAACAAAAGAAGGGAATCCTCGAATGCTACAGCGATGCTGACTTTGGTGGCTGTTCTAAGACCGGAAGATCTACATCAGGGATCATCATCATGTTTGCTTCAGGAGCCATTTCATGGAAAAGTGAAAGGCAGGCTATGGTGGCCATTTCTACTACTGAGGCTGAGATCGTAGCAGCAAATAAATTGGACCGAGTCCCGATTCTCCAGGTCGATAATGCGGCTGCCATGAGAGTGGCCCAAAACCCCGAATTCCATCGCAGGACCAAGCACATAGCCAACCAGCATTTCTTTATCAGGGAAAGAATTGCTGAGGGAGAATTTGGGATCGAACAAATTCCGACTGAGGAACAACTGGCTGATATGATGACGAAGCCGATCCTCCATACTCGTCTCCGGATTCTTTGCAACAGGATTGGACTCATCTGAAGGAGAAAAAACACCATTTATTTTTACTTTATATAGTCATAAGTCAGAAGTTTAGAATTTTGAATTCTCACAAGGGAAAGTGTTGAAGATAAATGTTTCTAATTCAAAATTACCCGCCAAGTCAGAGGGCTCTTGAAATATCATATCGATAGTACGATAGTATCGAATCATAAACACATAACTAATCCTAACCTAAAAAGCTGTTGAAGAGGATGAATAAACACGACATTCAGTTTTCAATAAATATTGTTTATTTACTGGCCTAAATAACAAATAAATAAAAGTTATAACAATATGATAAACTCCTCCATCCTCCATGACCTCCATCTGTCTGTTTATGCGCAAACTAGTCTCTCAGTTTTAAAGCTATCGACTTAAAACTTTGCATACACCCTTCTTTATTTTGCACGCAGTATATAAGTCTGAGTGGCCGGGATCAGCCGACTATATCCTTTATAACTGACATATAAACTTGATTATAATATTTGAATATAATATTGATTTCAATATATTGATTGGAAGTGGTAAAACTGGGGTTTTTTAAGTTAGAGAGTTCCAATTTTACATGAGAGCTATTTGGCAAAAAAGTACGACATGCCAAATATCATAAGGATCGACCGACTATATCCAATAGCTTTCGTGTTTTTGAAGATAGAAAGCTGGAACTTGGTACACATTCTATTTTTGGTTAGTTAATCCGACCTACAAAATTTCATTAGGATCGGCCGACTATATCCTATAGCTGCAATATAACTGAACGATCGGAAATGGTTTTTAGTAGAAATACTAACTTTGGTATTTTTAAAGATATAAGCTTGGGACTTTTTTTTAATATTTTTTTATAATAAATTGGTTTTCCGATGTTTGCGATATATTATTTTAAATGCAAGGGTATATATACTTCGGCTCCGTCCGAAGTAAGCTTCCCTTCTTGTTTTTAATTATATTAGAAATTTAATTACTTTTTTTTTAAGTTTTAAACATTTTTAAACACCATTTGAACATTTTTTAAAATTATCATTCCAACTAAATAGTATAATATTACGTTCGGATTTTTATTTCAGAAAAAAGTCAAGAGCTGAATTGGTTCGAGTTTCTGCTGCTGTTATGGGAATTGAGTTTTCATATGCAGCGGAGACTGCTTTTGTCTCTCCAACTCTTCTTAAAATTGGAGTTAGACATCAACAGATGACTTTGGTATGGGCATTATCTCCACTTGTAGGATTCTTCGTATGCCCTATTTTGGGATCGCTATCTGATCGATGCAAATTGAACATGGGTCGCAGAAGGCCGTTTATTATTCTTTTGTCAATAGGAATAGTAATTGGTAACTATAAAATTAAATGTAAAAAAAAATTGTATAATTACTGTACTGTATTTATCCCTGTTACAAAATAGGGCTATAGCATAAGAACTTTAATTCTCTTTATTATACTGCAGCGTTTTTCCTAAAATATAATTCAGTCAGTGAAACGAATATCTTTATAACGCATAGTGTTTAGGTTTGTTTATTGAAATTTATATTGAGCTTATAACTGAATTTAAGCTCAGTATTGTATATTCTTAAAAAAATTGTCTGGATTACTTTTTGAAATACATAGTACATATTATTATTGAAATGTATGTGTACAAACTCAAATTAAACAAGAAAGGAAAGCTAACTTCGGGCGGAGCCGAAGTTGATATACCCTTGTAGTTAAAAGCGGATATATATCACAAACATCGGATAAAGGTTGCCGGTCCTTATGAGAATATCATCAAAAAACCAATTAATTACAATAAAATATATAAAAACAAGAAAGGAAAGCTAACTTCGGGCGGAGCCGAAGTTTATATACCCTTGCAGTTAAAACTGGATATATATCGCAAACATCGGATATAGTTGGCCGATCCTTATGATTACATCATAATAAAACCAATTAATTACAATAAAAAATCTAAAAAAAAGTCCCAAGCTTCTATCTTCAAAAATACGAAAGTTGATATTTCTACCAAATACCATTTCCGATCGTTCAGTTATATGGCAGCTATAGGATATAGTCGGCCGATCCTAATGAAATTTGGTAGGTCGGATAAACTGACCAAAAATATAATCTGTAGCAAATTCCAGCTTTCTATCTTCAAAAACACGAAAGTTGGGTCATTTCCGATCGTTCAGTTATATGGGAGCTATAAGATATAGTCGGCCGATCCTTATGAAATTTGGCATGTCGTAATTTGTCGCCAAAAATAGCTCTCATGTTAAATTTGAAGTCTCTAAATTTAAAAACACCAAAGTTATACCATTTCCGATCAATCAGTTATATGGCAGCTATAGGATATAGTCGGCCGATCCCGGCCGTTCCGACTTATATACTGCGTGCAAAGGAAAGAAGGGTGTGTGCAAAGTTTTAAGACGATAGCTTCAAAACTGAGAGACTAGTTCGCGTAGAAACGGACAGACAGACAGACAGACAGACAGACGGACAGACGGACAGACGGGCAAGCTCATATCAACTCAGGAGATGATCCTGATTAAGAGGGTCGGAGATGTCTCCTTCACTGCGTTGCACACTTTTGGACAAAATTATAATACCCTCTGCAAGGGTATAAAAAAAGGTCCCAAGCTTCTATCTTCAAAAATACCAAAGTTGGTATTTTTACCAAAAACCATTTCCGATCATTCAGTTATATGTCAGCTATAAGATATAGTCGACCGATCGTTATGAAATTTGGTAGATCGGATCAACTGACCAAAACTAAAATATGTACCAAGTTCCAGCTTTCTATCTTCAAAAACACAAAAGTTGGGTCACTTCCGATCGTTCAGTTATATGGGAGCTATAGGATATAGTCGTCCGATCCTTATGAAATTATTTTGGCAAAAATAGCTTACCTAAAATTTGAACTCTCTAACTTTAAAAACACCAAAGTTATACCATTTCCGATCAATCAGTTATATGGCAGCTATAGGATATAGTCGGCCGATCCCGGCCGTTCCGACTTATATACTGTGTGCAAAGGAAAGAAGGGTGTGTGCAAAGTTTCAAGTCGATAGTTTTAAAACTGAGAGACTAGTTGGCGTAGAAACAGACAGACGGACAGACGGAAATGCTCATATCAACTCAGGAGGTGATCCTGATCAAGAATATATATACTTTATAGGGTCGGAGATGTCTCCTTCACTGCGTTGCACACTTTTTGACAAAATTATAATACCCTCTGCAAGGGTATATAAATGACATCTAGCAGGCACCATATCTTTGGAACACTCATCCAAAGTTGAAATTTTTTCCCAAACAACATTTTTTACAACACTAACATTTTTTCCCAAACATTTTTCTATCGAACATTTTTGTTATTGAAATCAGTAGATCATACCATGTTTAAATAGGGATTTAAGAAAAAGCTCAAAAGAATTTTATTGAATTTATGTATTATTTATGCAATATTTTCGTCAATTAAATTGGAGTTTTTAATCTCATTTTTATAGGGTAGGGCAGGTATTATAATTTATATTATGGTCACAGAGCGCGGCAGCCCAGGGCCATTTCTCGTCCACGGCAGGTAGCCAAGCGACGAAGCGTGTATAAGTTAAAACGCGCAGACAAAATTTAAGAAAAGTGCCAAATTGCACACCGTAACGAAAGAGGTGCTGACTACGCATTCCAAGGGCAACTGTCCGCGGACCGGCTCGGGCACTTGCGCAACAAGTGATCGTTGCTGGCCGGATACGGAATGCTGACACTGCAATTGGGCAACTGCGCCGCAGCCCAACGAAGGCTTCGAAGTACAGCCCGGGTAGTATTTTAATTCAGTCTTAAATAGAACTCCGCAGCCTTAGCTCGCGTTATATTTTATTCTATCTTTGTCAGTAACACTAACCTTAACGGACTCGTGCGAAACAAATGATCAATAAATATTATTTGTAAAACCCACACACAAATAATCTATTATTAACTGGCGCCCAAGCGTGATAAACAACCCGCACCGGAAAATTACGTAAACAGAAACGGCTTAAAAATAATGTTAACACAAGTGCAAAATTCGGCTAACAAAAAATAATCGGAAAATAAAATAAATAAAAAAACATACAAGTGAAAAAAAATAGAAGCTGAGAAGAAAACCCACCCTCAAAAAAGCTTCTAAGACATTCGGACAAAATATATTTTTTCTACACAAAAAGTTGTAGAAATAGTGAAAATAATATTAAAAAAAACGAAAAGTTCTAAGAAAAAAATTATATGCAAGATTTTATTCAGTTAATTCTTGCATAAAACTCAAAAAACCAACGAAACAGTAAAAAAAGGGAGCTGTAGGGACAACCCTCGCCCCCCTCCGCGGGAATAATCCAAGTAAAGGGAGCTGTAGGGATACCCCTCGCCTTCCTCCGTGGGAGCAACTAAAGTAAAGGGAGCTGTAGGGTAACGCTCGCCCCCCTCCGTGGGAATCAACAAGCTGAAGCGAAGGAAAGCCGACGGCAACTTGCAGCATATCTTAATAAATAAATATAAGAAAATGTAAGTAGGCTGTTTGTTTGTCTGTTCGTGCAAGAAAAATAATACAGAAAATAAAAAGTTTTTTAAACAAATAAAGAGGATTCGCTAGGCCTGTAATGACTATATGCTTAAAATAAATAAGAGAAAATATTTATATTTTGTTTTTTTCTTTTCTCCTCTTAAAAATCTTTTTTTCCCCTTTTCTAAAAGGCTAAAACTTGTCAAACTTATTGTGCAAGAGAAATAAAAAATAAAAAATTAATACAATAGGAAATACATGATTGAAAAAATAAGTACATTTTGTTTTTTTTTCTCCCTGAAATCTGAGCATATAGAAATAAAATTTTCTTGAAATTTGAGTACGAATAAAAGCATTTGCGCAGCTAACTCATTTTTACTATTTATAAAAAAGTGCACTGAGAATTGTTTTTTTTTTTAAATAAAAACAAGCAAAATATTACGAAAAATAGATAAATACATTACAATTTTATTGGCACAGCGAGGAAAAAGTGAGTAAACCAAACAACCAGCGACAAGCGGGTTGGAAGAATTGGTCCACAGACCAAGAACAAAGTCGAAATTTGGGGGCAATGCAAAAGACCCCTTACTTTGCCCGACCTCAAAAAGGAGGCAATAATCAACCCGGTTCTTTTAAACAAAGACCATATAGTAATACGGGAAACGCCCAGAAACAAACAAGGGCGGAGCCAATGGATGTGGATACCTCATCCCGTTTTAGACAGCCTTCGGCATGGGTAGCAGGGCAATCGACAAGGACACAACAGAAAATCAACTTCATGCCCGAGGAACAGTCCGGCGAAGAAAACTACGATTCCGTTGCGCAAGCATGCGCCACAGAAATAGAGGACGACCTGGACGCAGAGGACTCTATTAATTTTTTAGGGTAAAGTCCCTACTCTCGTACATTACGCGTACGCTGGCAGGAAGGGAAATAAAGCTTTTAATCGATACAGGTACCTCAAAAAATTATATTACTCCACTCCCGGGGCTGAAAGGCGTCGTGGCTGTGAACACCACATTTAACGTAAAGCCAATCCACGGCTTTACAAAAATCGAGAAGAAATGTTTTGCTTCCATATTTAATGTTAAATCACCATTTTTCATTCTTAAAGTTCTGAAAGATTTTGACGGTATTATCGGTCTTGATTTGCTTAAACAAGTGAATGCGAAACTCGATTTTACTGCAAATATTTTTCACACTAATAATGGATCCGAAAAGATCCAGTTCGCTAGGGCAGAAAATGTCAACTTCATCAAAATAGATGACGAGGACGTTCCCCCCGCAGTAAAAGCCGCCTTTGACAAAATGATAGGTGAAAATTACAAAGCCTTCGAGGATCCAAACGAAGCACTTCCTTTTAATATAAATACTGTTGCTACAATTAAAACAGATGGGGAGCCGGTGTACTCAAAGTCGTACCCGCACCCCATGGGTTTAGGGATAAAGGATTAGGGATTAGGATTAAGGGATAAGGTCATCCAAGTCTCCTTATAATAACCCAACGTAGGTTGTTGACAAAAAAGGAACCGACCAGAACGGGGTCAAGAAGAAGCAACTCGTTATCGACTTTAGAAACTAAACGAAAAAACCGTAGACGATAGATGCCTATCCCTGCGTAGATAGATGCCTATCCCTGCGATTACGACAATATTATCGAACCTGGGCGAGTCAAAGTTTTTTACAACACTCGACCTGAAAGCCGGCTTCCACCAAATAGAGCTGGCAGAGAGAGACCGACAGAAGACGTATTTTTCAATAAATAATGGTAAATACGAATTTTGTAGATTGCCATTTGGACTAAAAAATACTCCGAGCATTTTCCAAAGA